CCCCCAGGGATCTGGAAATTAAAATGCGGTGGGTGGCGTGGGGTGGGGGGAGTAGCATCAATCCAAACAATTCTTGAACTGCACTGGGCCACGTTGGGATCCCTTTACGCCCAGCATTCAAATGAAGCGGAATCTTAGGCTTCTCTAAGGCTCTCATGGGTGCTTCCAAGCTCCGCTTCCATCTCCATTTTGAACCCCCACTTCCTGCCCTTCTAGCCTGGGAGCAGGCAAGTGGAAATAGTTATGTTAACACGACCTCCTCTCACTTCCGCCCAGGTGCAGGACTTCGGGTTGAAGCACCTCTTAGCCATGAGGAGTTTGCGACTCTTATCTCTAGCAGGTGAGACGTCCTGCGTGCCTCGTGGGCAGTGTCGTCTACTCGCCTACTCAGTCTGACCTCCCTGAGGTCCCTTAGGCAGACAGAGTCACTTCAGGCTAATCACGTCCCAGGTAGCCGGTGGGAGGAAGGGCGTACTCTAGCAGTCCCATCCAGTCGTACACGCCCTGGTGCAGGTCCCGCCCATCCTGTTAGATTCTCACCCTTCTACGCCCAGTACAGGTCCCGCCTCATTAAACCTATTGTAGGACCCACCCCCAGCAGGCCACCGCCCTCTCCGGTCTTGCCCTCCTGCCCGGTGGAGCTGAGATGCTGAACAGCTGTTCTGTTGCCTTGCTCTTGCAGGGTGCCCGCTCCTGACCACCACGGGGCTATCGGGCCTTGTGCAGCTGCAAGAGCTGGAGGAGCTGGAGCTGACCAACTGCCCTGGAGCCACACCCGAGCTCTTCAAGTACTTCTCGCAGCACCTGCCGCGCTGCCTCGTCATTGAATAGCGCAGGCTTCCCCAAAGGCCGCGGGAACCGGCCACGCCCTGGGCAGTAGCCCCTCTTCCATCCCTGCCGGAGCACCACTTCTCGGCCCTGCGCTGGAGGCGGGGCAAGCAGAGGGAAATCCCGCCCCGTGCCTCCCTTGCTCCTCTGCTCCATCCCCGCCTGGGGCAAGAGACAGAGGGGCCAGCCCCACTCAAGCACGCACACTCGGGGACTTTGTGCATGCCCCTCGTGCCCGCACTGCACGCCCGCCCTCCACCATGCCACAGCCGCCGCCATCTCTCGCCCGCCTTCTCGGGGGGCTAGGTCCTTTGGAGGATGCTTTGAGTGCAGATGCCCTCACTGCCTTCCCCATTTCATTCTGCTCTCTGCCTCCCCCACTGTCCCCCATCCCGGGCAGGGCCCAAGGGGATGGAGGGATTGGTCCCCCAGGACTCAGGGGCCTGGAAGAGCCCCCCAAGGGCCTCCCACATCTTCCACTGCACCGCGCCTGGAGCCCTCCAAGGGGTATAAGGCGTCACAGGCCACTGCCAAAGCCATGGCCCCCTGAGGAGCCCAACTCTCCCATGCCCACCTGGCCCAGTGGCTTCCCTTCTTCCTTGTTGCCATGTGGGTCAGTTCTTGTCCTCTGTGCCCTCTTTTCCCCTTCTTTCCCCCTGGCCTACAGATACTTGGGCCCTGGCCAGGCTGGGACAGCTTTAGGAGGATGCAGACCTTGGAATAATCAACATTAGCCTAACTGGTGCCCATCCACCCAAGTGCAAGGGTGGAATAGGCACCTGACTGACCCCAATCTGGAGCCACTCACAAGGCTGTCAGGCTTTGGGAGCGACCCACCCACTCCAGCCTCTACCCCCGCTGAGCTCAGGCCTCTCAGCACTGTGCTTCACCCTGGATAGGTCTCCTCAGGTGGAATTTGCAGAGCGCCTGACCTAGGGTCAGGGTCAGCACCGACCAGTGATTCTGATCTTCCAGTGGCCAGCACACCCATCACACCCAAGGAAGGAGGGCTCCTTTCTAGTCCTCCTTTACCTCTCCCAGCTTCCAAAACATTTGCCTGTCCAAATGGGCTGTAACCATGTTTTGTCAGATCCCGAGACATTTGGAAGTCCTAGGGGATCCTGGCATATGTGTGGCAGTGCTGAGGAAGGGGCTGGGAACCCCTTCCCTCCCAACCTTGAGCCCCAGGAGACGCAGCACCCACAACCAATCTTGGGACATCCCTATCTGGTTGGAAGAGAGTAACTAATTCCCAGAGAGCCAGAGGGAGAGAGAGAGAGAGAGAGAGAGAGAGAGAGAGAGAGAGAGAGAGAGAGAGAGAGAGATATGCTGTTGACAAAAAGTAAGAGTTCAACAGCCCAAAGAGTTCCCTGCCCCTGAAGTGTTGGCCAGGGAGGCTCCAGGCTGAAGTGGTCAGGAGCCAGGTTCTTCAGCCCTTCTTCCCACAGTCCCCCAATAGGGAGGGGGAAGCTGTCCATTTGCCCAAAGTATTCCTGCAACTGAAGCTGTGAGATTTCCAATGACTGTAGGAGGAAAACTTAAGGGGAGAGAGGAACACAAATAAAACCAACCAACCCCTAAAATCATTTTCTTATTGTACATAACGACCTCATTCTCCTGTATATGCGGAAGATATAACCTTATATTTGGTAAGTGTTTCTTGTGCTATTTTATCACGTGACCTGTTTATAAAAATATATATTAAAAAAGTTGTAAAAACACGAGTCTTTGTTGTTTGTTGGTCACTAGGCCAAGCTGTAAGGTTTAAATCTGCTCTGGATGGCCCAGGTCTCTGGGTTCTCCTGCCTCTCTCAATTCACCAAAGTGACTCATTTCTTCCATAAACAGGGCTGGACTGGAACCTTAGCAACTGACCAACAGACGTTTTCTCATGCCCTGAATATACAAAAGGGAGCAATGAAGATGATGCCAATGTGTGTATTTCTTCAAAAGGATCTAGGGTCTAGCCTACCCTCCTTCAAGAAGAGCACAGGGTCACGAAATGAGGGACTGCAATGGTCTAAAGGATTGCAGTGGCACTGGGGAGGTGGCTCAGTGGTTAAGAGCACTTACTGTTCTTACAGAAGACTTAGGTTTAGTTCCCAGCACCCACATCTGTAGTGATATTTCATTTGTATTTTAATAAATAAAGCTTGCCTGAAGTTCAGAGAGTAAAATAACCACACTAATCAGCCTTACAGACCAGACAGGGGTGACACACACCTTTAAATCCCAGTAGTCACACTAGTTTGCCATAGGAGCAGGGCGGAAGTGGTGTACACCTTTAATCCCAGCACTAGAGGGGAATATAAAATGAGAGGAGACAGCTCTCAGTCTGAGATTCCTGGAGACAGGATCGCCATTTCAGACTGAGGTAAAGGTAAGAGCCAGCGGCTAGCTGTTTTGCTTTTCTGACCTTTAAGTCAAACACCAATTTCTGCTTCTGGGTTTTTATTAAAATTGCTACACACATCAGATGGCTTTAAGCTGCCTATAAGACTCTAGCTCTGGGGGACCTGATGCCTGCTGGCTTCCTATGGATCTGGAATGTACAATGGTGCACATAAAAACTCACACAGGGCCAGGCGGTGGTGGCACATACCTTTAATCCCAGCACTTGGGAGGCAGAGGCAGGCGGATCTCTGTGAGTTCGAGGCCAGCTTGGTTCTACAAGAGCTAGTTCCAGTAAGGCTCCAGAGCTACAGAGAAACCCTGTCTAGGGAAACAAACAAACAAATAAACAAACTCACACAGCCAGGACTCAGGAGGCAGAGGCAGGAAGACCTCTGTGAGTTCGAGGCCAGCTTGGTTCTACAAGAGCTAGTTCCAGTAAGGCTCCAGAGCTACAGAGAAACCCTGTCTAGGGAAACAAACAAACAAATAAACAAACTCACACAGCCAGGACTCAGGAGGCAGAGGCAGGAAGACCTCTGTGAGTTCGAGGCCAGCCTGGTCTACAAAGTGAGTTTTAGGACAGCCAGGGATGTTACACAAGGAAACCCTGTCTTGAAACACCTCACTCACAAGCACACACACACACACCACACCACACACTAAAGGAAAAAATTAAATAAATAAAAGATCACCGTATGCCAGAAGACTGTGATTACTATGCCCACCCCAAGAGAAAGTGGCAACTGAGACTAAACCTAGCCACTGACAGAACTGGCTGTCAGGCCCTGAAAATACCAAAACTGATGTAACTACATAAAATAGATATAAAATCCACGATAGATAGAACTGGACAGTGGTGGCTCATGATTTAATCCCAGCACTCAGGAGGCAGAGACAGGCGGAGCTCTGTGAATTTGAGGACAGCCTGGTCTGTAGATTGAGTTCCAGGCTGTACACAAAAAAATATTGTCTCAACAACAACAACAACAACAACAAAAACAAAACAAAACTCTGCAATAGACAAAGCAGGCCACATTAGCCTGAGGTAGGAGGGATGGTCTAAGATGGTAGGCATTTGAGCTAAGTGTTGAGGGCTGAAAAGGGAACATTCTGCAGGGGTAGAAGACATAGGTAAAAGGCATACATGCTTGTGAGGAGGAAGGAAAAGTGCTCAGTGGGAAGGAAGCTGGAATGGAACCCTGCTGAGGAAAGGGGAGCCAAGAAACTCACAGCTGCACAGCTGCAGATACACCAGGACGGCCAGGGCCAGGCGACTGGGATTTATTCACAGTGCAGTAAAACCTTGAGTGGAAAAGATACCAGGCTGCTTGCGCGGGTGTCAGAGTAGAAGATGGTGAACCCAGGACCCGTCAAGAAGCAGCACCTGAGTTCAGTCAGCAAAGTGTGTGTGGGGGAGTAGGATACAGCACTGGGAGAGAGTGGAGGAACTCGTGATCTGCTTAGAAAATGGCTCACTTAAGTTCTGGTATTAAGATGTTGAGATTAAAATAAACAGGGACCGGTAAAATAGCCCAGTTGACAGAGAACTTGTCTTGTATGCATTAGGATCTGCCCGGGCTCGATCTCTGACATCACAAAAACAAAAACTAACCAAATAAACGCAGACAATCCCCAAAGTAGAACCCGGGAACCTGATGAACCCAATTCTGGTCCATTCGCTTGGCCAAAGCGCCGCGCGCAAACTCGGAACCTTTATGGTATAAGAGTTTGTGTCCACTTCCGGCGAGGCAAGAATAAGAACGGACTACTTCCGGTAATGGGCGGGAAATAGGTTCTCTTCCTGTACGGTAGCTGAGGAACACTGTGCTTTCGGTAAATGTCTGGCGTGCGACCGAGGCAGAAGCTTTCCCAACACCTGGTTCTGGTCCCGCGGTTTCCGCTGCCAGGTGCAACCAGATACCTATACTTAGTGCTGTGGCCTCTCCTCTGCCTCCCCAGGTCTTTAAAGTCAGTCCTCCGGACCCCTCCAGCTCCTCTACCCTTTCCTCTCGTTTGTTTGTTCCTCTTGGGAGCCCCGCAATCCTCGGAGGCACGGGGCTAACTGTGAAGGCAGGAGCCCCTTATCTCTACCCTGGATCGACCTACCAAGGGTCTAGTAGCACCCAGGCTCTCACTGATGGAGGATTAACCACATAGACTGGGGAAGGCAGATTCTGTGCTGATGAGCCTCAGGCTAGCTATGCAGCCTTCGGGGGAACTCCATTTGAACCTTCCTGTGATGGTGATTGACTGATGGACCATCGCAGGCCGAAGGTTCGAGAGGACAAACAGAACTGTTAGGACACCATGGCTGACCGGGCCAGCTCATTTCACTGACCTCTAGCTCCTGATCCCTGTGCGGCCATGGAGAAGATGTCCCGAGTTAGCACAGCCCTGAGCGGCAGCGCCCTGACGGGCCGTACCATGCACTGCCACCTGGACGCACCAGCTAACGCCATCAGTGTGTGCCGTGATGCAGCTCAGGTTGTTGTGGCAGGCCGGAGCATCTTCAAGATTTATGCCATCGAGGAGGAGCAGTTTGTAGAGAAGCTTAATCTGCGCGTGGGCCGGAAGCCCTCGCTCAACCTGAGCTGTGCTGATGTGGTCTGGCACCAGATGGACGAGAATCTGCTGGCCACTGCAGCCACCAATGGTGTGGTGGTTACGTGGAACCTGGGTCGGCCATCCCGAAACAAGCAGGATCAGCTGTTCACAGAGCACAAGCGCACTGTGAACAAAGTCTGTTTCCACCCCACCGAGGCCCACGTGCTGCTCAGTGGCTCTCAGGATGGCTTCATGAAGTGCTTCGACCTCCGCCGGAAGGACTCTGTCAGCACCTTCTCTGGTGAGGCCCACAGAGACAGGCTGGGGCAGATGCGTGTTTCTGTGGGAGTTCAGTCTTACAAGCAGGTCGAAATGTGCTTCCTCGGAGAGCCTTCGTTGCCCTCTCGGAGGCTGAACAGCACTGGGAGGAAGAGTGGGTGGAGAAGGAGTAGGTTGGCCCCAGTGAGGATGAGCCCAAGCCTTGGTGGTGGGGGGCGAGGCAGGAGGTCAGATTGGGTGCAGCTGATGAGGAAGGTGGAGCCTACAGACACAGCCTAATGGTAGCTGGGTCTCCCTTCCCCTCTCCTTGCTTCACTGCAGCGAATCTACTGGTGTCATCAGGCCTCTCGGCCCAGGGATGCGGAGTGAGGTGGGAAGAACGCAGGGCTCCTTTCACGGCAGGCCTGGCTGGCTTTATTCAGCCATGAGCTTCCTCTCCCTGGCTCTTATGAAACCAAATGAAGCAGAAGCAGAGCCTTGGCAGATTCTGGTGCTTTCCTCAGCCCTCTGTGCTCCCTAGTTTGGCCACAGGCTGATGAACGACACCATTCCAGCACCTTCAAGGGCTCCCCCATCCCCCCAAGAGCCAGCCTCTCCCTGATACCTATCCCGATGTGTGCCCACAGGCCAGTCTGAGAGTGTGCGGGATGTGCAGTTCAGTATCCGCGACTACTTTACCTTCGCCTCCACCTTCGAGAATGGCAATGTCCAGCTCTGGGACATCCGGCGACCTGACCGCTGCGAAAGGATGTTCACAGCCCACAACGGGCCTGTCTTCTGCTGTGATTGGCACCCAGAGGACAGGTGTGGTGTGGGGCTGGGGGGCCATTAAGGCTGGAGGCTACAGGACAGTGGGGTGTGGCTGGGTCTCCCTTCCTGCAGGAGAGGTCACTGAGAGCTTGAATGGGACCTTCTCCACAGGGGCTGGCTGGCCACGGGTGGACGAGACAAGATGGTGAAGGTCTGGGACATGACAACACATCGTGCCAAGGAGATGCACTGTGTGCAGACCATCGCCTCTGTGGCCCGAGTTAAATGGCGGCCTGAGTGCCGCCACCACCTGGCCACGTGCTCCATGATGGTGGACCACAACATTTACGTGTGGGATGTACGCCGGCCCTTCGTGCCCGCTGCTATGTTTGAAGAGCACCGTGATGTCACAACAGGCATTGCCTGGCGCCACCCACATGACCCCTCTTTCCTACTCTCTGGCTCCAAGGACAGCACATTGTGCCAGCATCTGTTTCGTGATGCCAGCCAGCCTGTTGAGCGTGCCAACCCTGAGGGCCTCTGTTATGGCCTCTTTGGGGACCTGGCCTTTGCTGCTAAGGAGAGCCTGGTGGCTGCTGAATCTGGGCGCAAACCCTATGCTGGTGACCGGCGCCACCCCATCTTCTTCAAGCGCAAGTTAGATCCTGCTGAACCTTTTTCTGGCCTGGCTTCCAGTGCGCTCAGTGTCTTTGAGACAGAGTCTGGTGGTGGCAGCATGAGCTGGTTCGTGGATACAGCTGAGCGTTATGCTCTGGCTGGTCGGCCACTGGCTGAGCTCTGTGATCACAACGCAAAAGTGGCTCGGGAGCTTGGCCGCAACCAGGTATGTGGACTGGGGGTCCGGGGGTCACAATTTGGGCCAGAGACTGCTGCTGGGGTAGGGCACTATACCCACAACCTCCTTGAGCTTAGCACATTGCTCTGGTCGGTCACAATGCCAGCCTTTGCCAAAGTATTTGACAATGTTAAAGATCATGTGAGCCAGAGTAGCCCAGACCCTGGGGTCAGCCTCAGGTCTGGAGGCCTAGGGAGTTAAGTGCCCACAGCACCCTCTTCTGCCTCACTTTTGGTGCTGGAGCTGCCTTCTGCATGCCATCTCTCTTCTCCCCTTGCTAATCCTAGCACCTGGTGCCTCACAGTTTTGTCACCAGAGGGTGGAGACAGTGCTCTCTCCATGTGCCACAGTTTCCCCGCGGACTGGTATATGATTCTGCCCAGGAGATGGGGGCTAGCCTGGGTGCTGGGTGCCCAGGACCCATGAATGGTTGGTGCCTACCCCTAGGTGGCACAGACATGGACCATGCTACGGATTATCTACTGTAGCCCTGGCCTGGTGTCCTCTACCAATCTCAACCACAGCGTCGGCAAAGGCAGCTCCTGTGGCCTACCACTCATGAACAGGTAGATCCTTGGCCACTTCCTGCCCCTCCCCATGCGGATTGCTGGGGCCTGGCCACCCACAAGCCTTCCCTACCCCTAGCTTCAATCTGAAGGATATGGGCCCAGGGCTGGCCAGTGAGACTCGGCTAGATCGCAGCAAAGGGGACACACGGAGCGACACAGCTCTGCTCGACTCTTCAGCTACTCTCATCACCAATGAGGGTAGGCAGGGATGCTGACGGGAAGAGGGCTGGGGAGCCACTCCCTGAATGACCCCCTTTCCCTGCTGAGCAGATAATGAGGAGACTGAGGGGAGTGACGTGCCTGCTGACTACCTGCTGGGCGACGTAGAGGGAGAGGAGGACGAGCTGTACCCACTGGACACGGAGCATGTGCACTGTGAGTGGGGGCTAGGCGCGGTAGAGTTGCTGTAGAGGGCTCGGACCTGGAGCATGGCTCTGAGCAGGAGCTGAGGGGAGTGGGAAGCCTAGACTCAGGTCCATCATTCCTCGCCCCTGCCCCTCAGCGGAGGAGCCTGAATATGTGCTGCCGCAGGAGGCCTTCCCACTGCGCCACGAGATAGTGGACACACCATCTGGGCCTGAACATCTGCAGGACAAAGCTGACTCTCCGCATGTCAGCGGCAACGAGGCAGACACAGCCTCCTTGGCACCAGTAGACTCTTCCTCCTCCCTCCTTTCCGTCTCACATGCCCTGTATGACAGCCGCCTGCCACCTGACTTCTTCAGTGTGTTGGTGCGGGACATGTTGCACTTCTATGCCGAGCAGGGCGATGTGCAGATGGCTGTGTCTGTTCTCATTGTGCTGGGTGAGAGAGTGCGCAAGGACATCGACGAGCAGACCCAGGTGTGTGATGGGTCTAGCCACTTATCCCCTCATCTGAGCCTGCTTCTTCTCTGCTGTACCCCTGCCCCAGTTTGCCTGGAAACACTAACCTGAACCATCTCCTTCCCCCAGGAGCACTGGTACACATCCTACATTGACCTGCTGCAGCGCTTCTGCCTCTGGAATGTTTCCAACGAGGTGGTGAAGCTGAGCACCAGCCGGGCAGTTAGCTGCCTCAACCAAGCCTCCACCACTCTGCATGTCAACTGTAGTCACTGCAAGCGGCCCATGAGCAGCCGTGGCTGGGTCTGCGACAGGTGCAATGACAGGCAGAATTTGGGTGGGGGGTTGCGAGGGAGGAGACCCAGAACCCCCCATCTGAATGGCCCTTCCATTCCCAGGTGCCACCGCTGTGCCAGCATGTGTGCTGTCTGCCATCATGTGGTTAAAGGTCTGTTCGTGTGGTGTCAGGGCTGTAGTCACGGCGGGCATCTTCAGCACATCATGAAATGGCTAGAAGGCAGCTCCCAGTGCCCTGCAGGCTGCGGCCATCTCTGCGAATACTCCTGACCTGGTCTTCCCTGAGACTGAGCTTCTTCAGCTCAACCCTGAAGTCCACCTGTCTAGGCCCACAGCCTCTTACCCATCCCATGTACCGGGAATGAAAGGTGGCTGCAACACAATAGTGGTGGTGTTTTTAACACAATAAAAACAGGAGCTGGTTAGCCACTTGTCATTTTGATTGCGGCGCCGGCGGGAACTTCCTTATAGGGGGGAACTTCCGGTAGGGGCGCTGTAGCCATGGTTACCTGCAATAGCCAATGGCTGCTAAACACTCCGCCTTGAGGAAATGATTGAGGGTGGGAGAGAGGAGAGGATCGTGTGCGTGTGTATGAAAGAGAAGGCTCCCAGGGTCAGGATGGCTGCTGCTTGCCGATAGCTACAGCAGTCGGGGCCGTAGGCCAATGGTTTGTGGTTACGCAAGTGTCGACGGAATTCCCAGTGTGCTGCGCGCCTGCGCCCCGTATGTTCATGGCGGCGACTATCCGGCTAGGGCCGCTTTTGCTCTTTGTACTATGGACGACGGTGACTGTGGTTCTGCCTGGCTCTGGCGAAGGGGGATGGTGAGCGGCTGGAAATGAGCGGCGGGAGGGAGCCTGAACTCAGAGCCCTGGCAGGTTGAGCTAACCTGTTGCCCCCACAGGCAGCAGAGCGGGCTGGGGACTGCAGTAGCAGTGCCGGAGGAGCTTTGCACCGTGGAGCGCCAAGCACACCTCACATACTCCGAATTCATGCAGCAGTATGTGTCCCTGCCCCTAGTGTCTAGGCATACCCCAAGCATGGCCTTTTGGCTGCGGAGGTCATACCTTCACTGCCTGATGGAGTGAAGGTATGAACACGAGGTTCTTTCTCTCCCAGCTATGCCTTCGTCAAGCCGGTCATATTACAGGGACTCACGGACAACTCGGTGAGTATTTGTACCCATGTGGGCAGCTAGTCCAGATTGACCAGTTGCTCAGTTATTTTATCCTCCAACCCCAGCGGTTCAGGGCCCTGTGCTCTCGGGAAAACCTGTTGGCCTCGTTTGGGGACAACGTTGTTCGCCTGAGTACAGCCAACACCTACTCCTACCGGAAAGGTGAGCTTATCATACCCTTCAAGGCCTGCCTGTTTGCCAGCACCCCAAAGGCAGGACTGACCGGTCTCGACTGGCTCCTTTCTCCTAGTGGACCTGCCCTTTCAGGAATATGTGGAGCAGCTGCTGCATCCCCAGGATCCCACATCCCTAGGCAATGGTGAGCCAGACCTAGGCAGCATTGGGAACGGGACACTTAGGAGTGCACTGCTGCCGGTCGGTATTCCTGCCTCTCATCTTCTCTGCTGGCAGACACCCTGTACTTTTTTGGAGACAACAACTTTACTGAGTGGGCACCACTATTCCAGCACTATTCTCCGCCTCCGTTTCGCCTACTGGGAACCACCCCTGCTTACAGCTTTGGGATTGCAGGTGAGTGCTTCTTCAAAACAAACTTGGGGAAGCCCACATATATATATTTGTTTATCAGCTATCCACAAACGACCTCACAGGCGCTGGATCTGGGGTACCCTTCCACTGGCATGGACCTGGTTTCTCAGAGGTGATTTATGGTCGGAAGGTCAGTACAAGGGAACGAGGTAAGAGCTAAAGTTTGGGGTCTGTAGTCCAACCCAAGTGATCTTATATTCCATTCCTTCCTCCAGCGCTGGTTCCTCTACCCTCCTGAGAAGACACCAGAGTTCCACCCAAACAAGACCACACTGGCCTGGCTTCAGGAAATATACCCATCCTTAGCCCCATCAGCTCGGCCCCTGGAATGTACCATTCAAGCTGGTGAAGTCAGTGGCTGGTTGGTGGGGGACTGGGCCAACCCAAAAAGCCCCAACCAATCTGTGCTCTTTTCTCCTAGGTGCTGTACTTCCCTGACCGCTGGTGGCATGCCACACTCAATCTGGACACCAGTGTCTTTATTTCTACCTTCCTTGGCTAGCCAAACAGGCAACTGGCAAGCCCACTGCACCAGCATATGCCAATGTAGTGCTCACAGACTTTATTACAGGACAGTGGCAGCAGCAGCAACCTAAGCCCACCCTCACCCACTTTCCAGCCCAGAAGGGGGACAGGGAAGGCTCATGGCCCAGCAAGGGGTATGCTGAGAAAGGGAGCAGTTCAGAACCAATCAGCAGAACTGATGGGGGCAGGCCCAGGGACACAAGCTATATACAGGAACTGGAGCTTCTGTCTCCAGACCCTCCTGGGTTAGGGTGCCAGGCAGGACATGGCTTTAGTAGTCCTCTACCCAGCCGTTCTCAGAGATGAATGCATCAATGACTTCCTTCATGGCCAAGTTGGGGATGAGTTGTTCCTGGGTCAGAGGGCTCCGGGTCACAGGGTCAAAGTGACCCACACGCTGCAACAACAGAGTCAAGGTGGTCAACTGTCTGAGTTTATGTCTGATCCTAGTCCCAAGGCCAAGGCCCCTTACCTGCAGGTGCTCCTCAATGTCCTTGCGGTCGTAAGTGATACCACTGGGTGTGATGCAGGGCTCCCGCATCAGCTCAAAGCTGATCTTGCCACACAAGTAGTCAGGGATATCTCGCTTCTACAGCACAATGGGGAAAGTGTCTAGAACTGGAAGGGTCATCACACCAGCACCTACCCCCGGGCTTCGAGAATACTCACCTTTCTCTTCTCGTCCACCTGAGAGAAGAGCTCATCCATGTCTGCCATGTATTTATCCTGTAGAGTTGAGTGCCATGTGTGGGCAACTCCTATCTCCTCCATACAGACACACACACCTTATGTCCACCAGGGCACTCATGTCATGCATGGGCCAACAGATCCACCATAGGCTGGGGCACTTTTCATGCCACACACAAAAACACACACACAACGACCCACATGTGGACTAGGGGCACCCTCACGTGCTTGGCCTCAATGCAGGCCTGCTGGGCCCGGACGTGGCCATCATCCTCATCACCCTCATGGTTCCGCTGACACTCTTCCAGTTCCCTGAGGGTTAACCAGAAGCTAGTCGGTGATGGTCCTGACCAGAAAAGGCCAGAGCCCTCCCCGTTTCAGGCCCCTTTCCTCCTGGGCTTCCCGTGTGCTAGGGTTGTCTTCCAATAAACACTTGTGCTGGTGACTCAGTGTCAACCCCATGAAGTAGCTCGGTGGAGGGGGAAGACCCACCTCTCTCGCTCAGCAGCAATGAGCCTGGTGAGATAAGAGTGCAGCTCACTCTCCTGGTGAATGCGCCGTTCCTCAATACTGTTCCAGCGCTTCTTCTTCGCAATGCGAAGGGCACTGGGGATGTCATCCCCAAAGTTGAGTCGCTGCTCCTTGGCCAAACTATAGGCTAGGGGAGTGGACACTTTTAAGTTACACTCATCAGCAACCCCGGCCCCAAGATACCCACAACCTGGCATCGTATCACCCCACCTCGCTGCAGATTGGCAATGGCCTCATCGTAACTCTCCATCTCTAGCTGGCACTGCCCCAGGAAGAAATGCGCCTTCACAGACTGCCCATCCAGCTCCAGGGCTCTCCGGCAGTCAGCGAGTGCCTGTTCAGGCTGCTGCATCTTCAGATAGCAAAGGGCCCGGTTGGTGTAGTACACTGCCACAAGTGGGTTCCGGGTCTGGGGACCAAAGCCAGGCATCATAAAGAGTGTGGGCTCATCTGGACCCCTCTATCCCAGGATGCTGACTGCCACCAATGGTACGGTACTGGTAATGCTCCAGCTTTGAATTCCATGACTGGGATCGAGAAACTGAAGGTTTCCAGAGCTCTGGACTCTGGCTGTGATCTCTTAGCTCCAACAGAACTGCTTTTGTGAAAATTACCCAGAATCTCTCAGTTTTGGGGCAAGGGTTCCTGGTGTCATCCTAAGCCTGCCTCAATCAACCATTCCTGGGCTCGGAAACAGTAATCCGGGAGCTAGGGGAACAAGCTAGCCATCAAGTCCTAGCTGCCAGAAAATCGTCCCGGAATCACAGAACTGGGAGGCACATCGGGCCCCGCCCCCGCCCCCGCCCCCCGCACTTACGATGGCGCGGCCGTAGCAGGCCGCCGCCTCCTGGTACTTGCGGCCCACGAAGAGCCGGTTCCCCTGCTCCTTGAGCTCCTGCGCACTCGGACTCTTATCAGGGCTGCCACCGCCAGTGCCCAGCCGCGCGCCGCCCTCCTTTTCCTCCTTGCCCTTCATGGCGCCGCGCGGCACGGCTTGGGCTCCGCGCCCAGCCACCTAGCTCTCGCAGCCCGCGCAGCGATCAGCTCCGCCCGGTCGGCGATCCGCCACCGGAACTTCCGGCGTGGGGTGGGGCTGACATGAGGACACGTGAGCAGAGGCGGAGCCTCGCGGCTGCTGAGCCAGTTCAGCATCGAACGCGGTGCTGCGTGGCCGCGCTCTCTACGGGCCCCGCCCCACAGTAGCCAGAACCTATCCTCACTATTCGGACCAAGGCTCCGCCCCCTCGGCGTTCAAGCCCCGCCCTCCAGCCCACTCCACGGGAACGTGGCAGCGGCCCTTGAGAGGTGGCGCTCCGAGGACCGGTCACTGGACTAGCTCGCCATGCGGGTGCACGCGGGAGTTTGGGAGCGTCTGGACCGCTGGTAGGACCGCGGAATACAGGGAAGGAGAGGGAGGGAGGGAGGCCGGCTGGTCAGACCGTCCTCGCGGGGCTTCCCTGGGAATCGGGAGGAGCTGCCTGCAGCCATTAATGGCTGAGAAGCAAGCACGTGACACCTTGACACGAAAGGACCTGCAGTGGCTGCTATAGAGGAAGCTGCGGGTTCGCGGCTGGACTGCTCTCCCTTTCTTGCGGTCATGGGGAGGAGCTTCTTCAAGGGCGGGGGCCAGCAGGTTTCCTTGGAGAGCACCTCGGACCCTTTGACCTCAAGATCTGTAGAAGAGCCATTCCGAGCCGCCGCAGCTGCATCAGCTGCTGACTCCCCCACCCCACCCCCCGGAATTGGAGAACCAGAACTCGGCTTTCTGCTGATTTGTGCGCCGCAGTCACACTCCTCTGCGTGGTCCCTTGTCATTACCTTGGAGTGAGTAGGGAGCATCTTTGCCCAAGTTGGGCGGGGACTCTAGGAGGTTTAGCTCCAAGAAGCTATCTCCAAAATCTCCTTGTCACTCTTTGCAGTGGTCCTGGCGGCAGGAGCTTCTGAGGTGGCGGCTTTCACATACAAAGAGGCAGTGACTACGGTGCCTAGCTTGCTAGCCCTGCAGTACACAGTCAAGACTGCTTGCGTGTTTCTGGCCCAGATGCAGGAGGGCACTGCATTCCTGAGCCAAGGTGAGCCAGCTGCTAGGGCCTGGAAGGTCATGCAGGACCCCATCAGAATTCAAGTGGCCAGTAACTCTGTACCCCAGGACCCTTGTGGTCCTCACTAGTGAGTGCCTTTGGGCTGTAGACTCTTCCTTTTATGAAGACAGCATTACCCCCTAGGGCTATGGGGCAGAAGCTATACCCTGTCCTGCTGCCTGAACTTAACCCCAACTGGGCCTCCCACAAGGGTTGTAAGCCTGCCAAGAATTACAGGACCCAGCCAAGTGAGCCTGGCTCTGCTGTGGGCTTGTCTTTGGAAGGGAGGCTGAATAAACTGTCGACTGGAAGCCCTTGAAGCACAATAAATGACTGCTGACCTTGGCCTGACCCGGAAGTTGACAGTCTCTTACCAGGGGCCCTGCCTCCTTTGTGGAATCTGGCCAGTGCTGGCCAGGAGGAGTAAAGCCACCACCCCATGCCAGGTGCAGAGCTTCAAGGGGACAGGGAGCACAGACCATCCTGGAGGGGAGGTGTCCCATGTGGTCTGGGTGAGAGGCAGACAAGCCTGCAGAGCCCCAGGACAGCTGCCTAGTGATGTGTAAAATATTTATTCACTCTCCAAAAAGGCTCAGACTGCAAGTCCTGGGGATCGGTGGGTGGGGAGGGAGGGAACCTCCTCTGGGGCCACATTCAAGGATCTCCACCCAGCCCTGGCCTAGTAGCACCCTCCCCCAGAAAGGCCTGGGAGGGGCAGCAAGGGCTGCAGTAAGACTTGGCCTCAACCTGGTGGCGGAACCACGGCAGGCCCGGCTCTAGCCATGTGGCCCTAAGGAGCAGGTCAAGGTGGAGGGGGGATATCGGCACCCAGCAGGTCATAGGCAAAGACGTTCCAGAAGATGGCGAAAAGCAGGAAGGTGCCATAGGCAAGTAGCACCACCCACCAGCCGCACTGGTCCCTCAGGCGCTCCTCATAGCTCCGAAGGATGGTAAGGCCCATGCTTACACCTACCACTGCACCAGCCAGGTGTGCCATAAAGCTGGGCTGTGGGCCTGAGGCAGGCAGTGGTGGGGAGAAGCGCAGCCACACAGCCCGGCCCACTTCGGAACTCACTGCAGAGGGAGCAACAGGTGGGAGGGGCCCTGTCTGGAGGTAGAGGGCCTCCCAGCGCCCCACCTGCCCCGCTACTCACTGCACACCAGAGCCAGCACCATCCTCAGCAGCTTGTATGGACACCGCATCCCAGCCCAGTTCTGATGGGGGCAGGCAGACAGGCTGTGAAGCATGTTGGGTGGGCCCCTTCCCGCCTCCCCAGAAGGGCGGCCCCATTACCATGACAACATTGGCCAGGTGGGCTGAGCACAGCGCATAGACCCCTCCAGAGCCCCCTACCACAGGGGCACGCATGTCTGTGATAGAGACAGTCAGGGAGCCTGTGGGCAAAGGGAGAGGAGAGGTGAAGGCACAGCTGGCCCTCGGTTCACCAGGTGAGGTAGGCAGGGGACCCTCTCGCCAGAGTGCCCGACTCACCTGCCAGCACACCTGCCAGGTAGAGCAGGCTGATGCGAAGTACACCGTGTACCATCTCCAGGGGCACCCCGATCATCAGCTGCAGGAGGGCATTGAAGCCTAGCTGCTCCAGCCTGGCCACAAAAGAACATTGGGGAGGGGTGATCAGGTGTATGCCCTGCCTACCCTCAGACTACCTCTGGTCATTGCAGCCCCCCCCTAGGAGAGGTAAGGGAACAGGTCTACTGGAAGCCCCAGGCTCACTTACCCAACATGCATGAACATGTAGGTGAGGAAGCGCCAGGCGCGAGCTCGGTGTCCCGGGTGATACACCAGAGGGCTCTTCATGTATTCAGGGTGGTAGGTCTGGAGCACCCACTTGTTGAGACGTGCCCCGTAGCACAGGAACACGATGATCTGGGGACACTAGTGTTAGGGCTGGTCAAGACTAGGGACTCAGGAGGCCACGGGGCAGCATGTGGGCAGGCCCACCTGGGCAAGGGTGACAGAGGCCATGAACACAGGGGGTGGGCAGCTGCGGTGCCGGTAGAAGTACCAGCGGCGATCCACCTCACAGGGCAGGATCTCGTAGGCCACATATCGCACAAACCGCTTGTAGACACCCAGGCCTGGCTCATCTAGCAGTCCATCCCGAGGCAGTGCCCGTTGTCCATTAGCAATGGCCCTCTTGAAGCTGCTGGAACGCTTGCTGCTGATCTGAAGGGAAGGGGTCTTAGTACGGGTGACAGTACTGTCCTTGTGGAACCCTGCCCTAATTGGCTAGGTCGCTGTTCATCTGAGGCCCTATTCCACACTGCCCAGGTCCATAAGCCCTGCCCAGTAAGCTGTCTGCCCACCCAGCTTTGGCCAGAGTGCTGTGCTTGGCCAGGTCTGGGGCCCTCCCCTGCTGCCCACGCACTATGGCACTGACCAGGTCCACCAGCTCCTGGTAGCAGACCTGGCCCCGTTCGTTGCTCTGAGCCAGAGCCACCAACATGTCCAACTTGGTGGGGTCCAGGGGCAGCTCATGGCTGTGTACCAGACCAGCGAAGGTTTCCGCACCGATGAAGCCCGTATTCTCAGGATCCAGCTGCTGTGGTGGGGGAGTAGAGGGTGGGCCAACCCCCAGCCACAGGGCTGAGCCAGGCTGGCTAGGAAGGCTAGACTTTTGTGCTAGTTAGTGCCTGTTTGCTAGAACCAGCTTGTTTCCAGGCCCTGGCAGGGCAAGGTGCCTGGTGTGGCTGCTCCACCACCTCATATTCACCCTAGCAGTCCTAGAAGGTGGAGGGCCTTAGGGGGAGGATCTAGAACCAAGGACCACCACCCTCCCTACCCAGATTGCCGCAGAAACCAGTGAAACCTTTCCTGGGATAGTGAGTCTCAGAGGCCAAGGTCGTGCAGGGAGGGGAGGTTTCAGAGGTGGCTGTCTGGTAGGGCCTCCTGCGAGCATGGTCCCTCCCCCGAGCCCCTCACCGGCTGGAAGGACGCCAAGGCAGTGCCAGCTCCCACCCACCACGCACCTGCTCCTGGATGAGCTGCAGCAGCGAGCTCCTGTCCATAGAGCCGGGCCAAGGGCTGGGGTCGGCCGAGGCCGGGAGGGGCTGCTCTGCGGACCGCTCCGCTCCGCCCCGGCCGGCCCGCTCCGCCTGCTCTGCTCTGCGTGCTCCAAGCTCAGCGTCAACGAGATGCCAGCAGCCCTGCGCGCACACGGGTAGAGCACGCGCGTAGCCTGCACGCGCACGCGCCGACCGACTCAACGCACATCCTGGGTAGAGCCGTCCCCCACCAAACAGCTCGACCCAGAACCACCGCCTGCGCACTGGTCTTGCTCTTCATGCTGAAGCTTTTCCCAGGAGGCGGTAGCTGGGAAGCTGCGGCACCCATATCCCTCTTACGCAGCCTTTCTGGTTTCTGTACTTGTACTCGGTATGCTTAGCACCTTCTCCAGGAAGCTTATCCGACCAAAAAATAGGCCTGTGACCCATCCCCAGAAAGCCAAGGTCCATTTGCACCCCACTGCACTCAGACCTTCTCCAGAGCTGGGAGCTGCATGCAGTAGACACACCCTCGTCCTTATTTATTTGAAGTATTGCAGCAAGGAAGCCCCAGGTCTGGCAAAGACACCAGGTGGTAGGGTATCCCTAGGCTGCAGCTCAGACCTAGGCTGACCCTTCCCCAGTACTCATGGCTAAAGCTGTTTGTTCTAACCAACCAAATACTCCTGCACTGGATTTGAAACAGCAGGGCCCCCAGTGCAGAAGCACCATTCAAGACACGGGGGATAGCCAGGCAGACCCATAGACTTCTGAAGTAAGGTAGGACCGCAGATTGGATAAGGAGGGGATTTGTTCCAGAGGACAGTGAAGGTGGCAGATAAATGCGATGTGTAACCATGGCAAGCCCAAGTATCACTCAGAACAGAACCTGGTTAGAGATAGATGCGATGTATAGAGAATATAGCTGCCTACAAAAAGCATCCTGTCCTAGTGGGACAGGCCACTAGGCTGGAACACTGGCAGAGGGGAGGAGCCTCCCCACCAGGCAGACATTCTGGGGCAGGGAGTACCTACCTGCCCCAAGTCAAATGACACACTGGTTACCTAGATGTGTGAATTCCTGTATTGGTGTCCTTGGTGCTAGGCTATGTTGCAGGATCAACTCTGAGCCCCAGTCTATCCTCCCCTCAGCTCCTGGACTCCTCTGTCAGGCTACACAGAAAGCCTAGGCTGGCTGACTAGGCTGAAGTTTGGAGGTGGGGTACTAAGGAACCCCCAGCACAGAAGCACAGGGAAGAAGGGTCTCGCACACACCCACCCCAGTGGTAGATGCTGACGTTACTGGACAACAGACTACAACTGGATCTTCCACAGCCATTTATCACAGCGACTAATCAGACCTCAGAATAGGGACCCAGGAACAGAGGGAGACAGGACGGTCAGGTGACATTTCCAATACACACAGACAAGTCACATTTAGACTGGCTGAAGAAAAGCGATCTTTATGGGGCTAGAGAGATGGCTTGGTGGTTGGGACCACTTGCTGCTCCTGCAGAGGACCTAGATTTGTTCCCAACATCCAAATGGTGGTTATAGTCATCAGTTAACTCCAGTTCCGGGGGACTGGACACACTTGTCTGGTCTCTGTGGGCACCAGGCACACACACAGTGCGTTTACATACATGCAGGCAAAACAAACATGGAAATAAACTTTTTGTTTTGTTTTCTTTTTCCTGAGACATGGTTTCTTTGTGTAGCCTTGGTTGTCCTGGAACTCACTCTGTAGACCGGGCTGGCCTCGAACTCACAGAGATCCACCTACCTCGGCCTCCCAAGTGCTGGGATTAAAGGCGTGTACCACCACAGCCCAGCCTCATTTTTTAAAGAAAGAAAGAAAGAAAGAAAGAAAGAAAGAAAGAAAGAAAGAAAGAAAGAAAGAAAGAAAGGAAGGGAGAGAGANTTAAAGAAAGAAAGAAAGAAAGAAAGAAAGAAAGAAAGAAAGAAAGAAAGAAAGAAAGAAAGAAAGGAAGGGAGAGAGAAAGAAAGAAAGAAAGAAAGAAAGAAAGAAAGGAAGAAAAAGAAGGAAAGAAAGAAAGAAAAAAGCTGCCTTGAGATACCAGTACCCAAGAGCTGAAAAGACAGGTGAGGTTTAATCAGGGAACCCAATTCCACTTGCTCTGCAGCTGGTAGAGTGTAAAGCTCCACACCGTACAGAAAGGTGGGAACTCGGTGACTATCAGGTCCCTCCCAATATGACCACCTCTTGTCCCCACATGCCTGCTGGCCATGCAGAACCGGGAAGCACCTGAGAGCCCCTGGTCTTGGTCCCTGGCTTCCTTACCCACAGCCCAGCCCCTACCACACAATATTCCCTCCAAGGTCACGACCTCACATCTCCAACCTGCACCCCCAGGCTCAGCAGGACAGGGCAAAACACAGCCCTGTTGGGGGCAAGAGATTTCGGAAGTCCAAGTTTAGACACAAAGTCCCTGAGCAGGTACCCCACATCAGTCCCGGGGACCCTGTAGCCACACAGCCATTACACCACCAAGCTGAAAGCCCATACTCCTCTGCCACATGGGCCTCCACAAGGCACCGCAGTGTGCTGTGCGCCTTGGTCAGGAGAGGCTCATGGGTGGTTTATCATCGACTCTTCACTAGGACCCTGTACAGTGAGAAGCTAAGGACGGCAGCCACCGCAGTCCCAACAGCCACCAGCATTCCTCGGAGCCAAAAGGAGGAGGGGCGCAGCTCTGTGTGTACCAGGTGCCTGTGGAAACATGAATGTGCCATGTGTGTGCTAAAAGCTCACTGCTAAAAACCCGTGTCCCGAGCAGCCAAGAGGCCAGGCCAAAGGAGGCCACCCAGCAAAGCTCTCTGGGTCACAGGCCCTAACCTGCAGCTCTGCCACCTTCGTACCCAGATGACAGACTAAGCCCCAGGATAGCAACCCCACACCAAGGCGTATAAGGTATACCCACGGGAAGGTAGCCATGGTAGCAAGTTGGGTAAAGACAGCTGTGTCGGGCTGTGCTGGTCCCAAGCAGGAGAATGAGGCAGGGGCAGGCAGCCGGTGCCTACGGCAGAATTCAGCTGGTGACAGGCCTGGTGAGGCAACACCTTGAGGGAGATCAGCTTTGGAGGAGATAAAGAGGCAGGGGGTCTGCCCATCCATGTAATGGCGCTGCCAGGAAAGAGAAGAGTGGGAGCTGAGCTCGCTGGCCTTTCTAGCTAGCCTGTGGCGGCTGGGATGCCCGTACAGGACCCTAGGCCAGGACTTGCCTTGTATATGGTAGCACAGTGTACAAAGGTCTTGGGGTCACTGCTATCAAACATTAAGCAGGCGACATCACAAGTAGTGTCCAGAGAAGTGTCCAGCAGGTTATCCGCACTTACTTCACACAGCTGGGACAAACAATAGCCTTAGCGGCTTCCCCAAGGCTCAGTTCCCCGACAGCCACCCTGGACAGCTCCAGTAGGAGAAGGAAGAGGGAACACAGGGTGTCTGTTGTGGGTCTACCCTCCAAGACAGGATGCACAGTCCCTCACTCACAATCAGGTACTTCTCTTGTCCGCTGACCCGTACTGTATTGATGGTGTACATGGGGGGTTCCTCAGGGAGCTCCCTGGCTTCCTGTGTGGACAGTAGCAAAGAAGTCTTGATTTTGCTCCCTGTGGTACCTCTCCTGCCCCTTGAGTTCTCGGGTAGAGGGCTGGGGCCACCATGGTTCTCACCCTCAGGCTGTGGCCAAGGAAGGCCTGTAAGAAAGCCGACTTGCCCACTCCTCGGGCTCCCAACACCTTGCACATAAGCACACTGCGCTGTGTCTGCCCTTTCTCCTGGTCTAGCCTCTTCTCACGGGTAACTGTAAAGAACTCATGTGAGGGGCGTGGCCACTGAGGTGTCGGGGCCCAAGGACCGAACAAGTAGTTACCCACCTGTGATGGCCTGTGCTTGGGAGTCCTGCTCACAGAGGGTGGGGTAGCCCAGGTAGCCAAGGTGTGCAAGGCACTGCCGGACATCTAGGTAGGTCACCAGGCTGGGGGTGAAGGGAGGCACGGTGCTTAAGAGAGTAAGGCAAGGGTGGGGAGGACTAGATAGGCAGGCACACACTGCACTTACGTCCACTGGCAGAGATACCCATGCAAGGGCAGCCGGCCAGCCTGAGTGGGGACTATGTGTGAGAGTTCGGGGCCCCAGGGTGCCACTGAGAACACACTGAAGAGATCCTGCAGCTCCGTAGGTGAGAGAGCACCATCATGGTCCTGCAGACAGAGGGGCTATGGTGACACGTGCTTGGGGTGTATCGAGGAGCAAGGGGAGCGGTGCTCACCTGATCATGCTTCTCAAACACCCGCTGCACAAACTGGTAGCCGCGGTGGTTGAGCTCTGTGCTGCAGCCAGAGGGTACATGCAGCCTGTGGGGATGGCAGAGGCAGGCTAGTGCACTTCGGACTGCCACAATGCAGGACCTGCCTGGGTAGTCAGGCACTCCCAACTGAACCCTCTGGTCACATGGTTGGGGCTAGGCAGGGAGTGGCTATGAGTGTGTGTTGAGAGGCCAAGCTAGAGGTCCCAGGTTGCAAGATCAAGGCAGATCCATCAGGAAGCCAGTGCTGAGGGCCCCCCAATCCCAGAGAGGCCCAAGAGTATAAGCCCTGCTGCCCACCCGCCTGCAACTCACGGTGGAGAGAGGTAGTCAGGCGTCAGCTCCAGTGAGTCACTGTACCCAAAGCGCCGCAGGATGGTCCATGTGGTCTCGTGACGGCCACGTTGGATGAAGAGTGTGTTCAGGAAGAGGAAGCCTGTGAAAGGATGGAGGGCTCGCACCCAGCCCAGTCACTCCCCACACACCAAGGCGTATGATCATGTCTACCTCACCTTCCAGGGTCAGCCGGTTGTCCTGCACGCCACCTGCCACGTTCTTGCTTACCACCCTCTTCACATCCTCCAGGGCCTGTGGGGCCAGGGGATGGCCGAAGCAGGACTTCTGCCTCCGGGAAGAAAGGGCTTCAGGTCAGTCAGCTGCCCCCGATTCCTCTCTTATGCGGGCAGCTAGGGTCTTGGGGCAGGACCACACCTGGAAGGCATTGAGCTCCCCATCACTGAGCGCGTGGTCTAGGTCCTGATCTGAGAGTCTGAAGATCCGTGTGAGAGCCTTGGCGCACGCAGGTCTTAGCTGCAGGGACACAAGGCCAAGCGGCCCTCTCCCTGTTCACCCTGCCAGTGCTCCCGTTCATTGCTCTCCTTACAGAACACAGAGCCCTTAGCATGAGTCTCGGGGAAGTGTGTGGCCCTCACCCTCTGCTCACCTGTTTGGCCTCAGGGTCATAGAGGGGGGCCGTGGGGTGCAGAACAGCCTTCTGGGCATAGTAGAACAGTTCTGAGATATTCCTCAAGTGCTTGGCAGAACACTAGACGAGGGTGGGGACAGAATCAAGGAGGGATCGAAGACGGATACAGGAGAGCTGCTGCAGGGTCTTAACATAGGCCTTCCCCGACTCCCTGCTCACCTCGACGCAGGTCTCTATCTCAGGAAACTGGCTCATGATGGGTAGCACAGCCTCCATGGTACTCCCTGGTCGCAGGTCTGACTTATTGCCTACCAGGATGATGGGCAACCTGGGAGAGAGGCCATGATCACCAGGGATGAGGAGCAGGTGGGGCCTAGTCCCCCCAGCTGAGGCCCTGCTGGTCACCTGGGCCCTGTGGCAGTCCTGCCGTTCACCAGCGGGATCCACTTGGTTCGGATCTGAAAGACAAAGTGCAAGCTTGAGGAAAGAATGCACAGGTGCTCACCAGCCCACGCTGCCCCACCTGGGCTAAACAAGCTTTAGGACTGGTGGAGAGCTGGAAGCCAGCTGTGGTCCTGTGGCTGAAGCTGGTGGGAGACTGTGGGTGATCCCAACAGCTGCAATCTCCCCAAGCAGGCTGGGGTCCCTAGCTCAGAGGTATGGGGCTCCCTGAAAAGCTCAGCAGAGACGAGGCTGGGAATGAGGATCGGGGATCAAGAGCCACTGTGTCCTGCCCAGGTCAACTGTCAGCTAAGCCAGGCACTAGCAGCAGGGGCTGAGAATGGACAAGGAGCTCCCCTCTTGCTCACCTTCTCAATGGTGGCTTCCTCGGACACATCGTACACCACACACACTACATTTGCCTAAGGAAAAGCAAGACACAGGGTGACCAGAGGCTGCCTGCTCACTATAAACAGCACAG